ACATCACATGATATTACATCACATAATATGATATCACATCACACGATATCACGTGACATGACATTATATGATATGACATCACATTATATGGCATGACATCACATGATATGACATGACATGGCATTACATGACGTGGCTTCACATGATATGACATCATATGATATGACATCACAGGATATGACAACACATGACATGACATCCTATCACATCACATAAAATCACGTCACATCTTATCACGTCATCGCACCTCATCTGATCTACGTGAATAGAAAAAGAAAAGGATATAAGCAAAGATGTGAAAGATAAAAACAAAGATGAAGACCAAGGTAAAGTTACCGATTTCAAAACCAAAAACACCGTTGGAAAAATAATTTTCTGTAGATGAGAGTTTTTATAGTTTCGAAATTGGTTGAAAATCGTCGTTTAAAAATTTCCATATTTGTGTATGGTTGTTTTTGCAACCTGTTCAATTTAAGCTGTTTCGCATTTTGTTTTACTTCGTATTTGAAATTAAACTTTGAAATAAAGATAAATATGAAAATGAAGAAACAAGTGACAAAAAAAAGGCAAAAGTGAAGATAAAGACGAAAATTGAGATAAAGGCGAAAATGGAGACAATGAGAAATACATAAGAATTAGATTAAAAGATAGGAATCGAAATAAAATCAGCCATAAAGGTTACTGAAATTTATTGAATCATCGAGTTTATAATTATCGAAATTTATCCATGCTTATTAAGTTATCGCAACGTATCGAATTATTCAAACAGATCAATGTTTACTGAGTTGTCGAAATTTATAGACACAGAAACTTAGTTGTCCAAATTTACGGATAGTTATCGAGCTATAAAAACGTGTGGGTTTAACGAAATTTGTCAAGTTAAAGAAATGTATCAAGTTATCGATATTTATTGAATTATCATTATTTATAGACTTAACGAAATATATCGAGGTGTCGTAATGCATGGAGTTCTTTCAACTTACAGAGTTATCGATAATTATTGATCTACTGAAATTGGTTGATTCAACAAAGCAAAGTTTATGCAATTTTCAAAATATATTATAATTTCAAGGTTATATAAGCTTATCGAATTATCACTGCTTATCGAATTTAATCGTCTTAACAGAGTGTAACGAGTTATCAAAATGTTTAGATAGTTTTCGAAAAATGTGGAGATGTCAAAAGTAAAAATTTATAAAGGTATCCATAGTTTTTACATTTTTGAGTTATCGAAATTTATAGAGCCATCGAATTTCACAGTTATCGAAATTGGTCGAGTTAACGAATTTTGTTGAGTTATCGAATTTTAGTGTTCTTGAAATTCATCGAACTATTGATATGTATCAAATCATCGAAATTTATCGATAAACTTGAATGTATCGGGTCAATTCCAAGTCCTGCCGAAGTCCTCCAAGGACCTTCTCAGATAAAAAAAAAATAGTTACGTTTTAGCAGAAGATTTTCCGGTTAGTTAATTTGTAATTAAGTATCGCTACGTGTTAAGTTAGAAGATCTCTCCAAGGCTTCGAAAACTAGAAAAACTGTCGAATTTCGACAGTAACTGGCACTCTAGTTTTTATGAGAAGCTGTTTTTTCATGGCAGAAATACACTCAGAGGTTTGCCATCGCCTGCCGAGGGACCACCGCTGTTAAGAAAAAACCTTTTTTCGATATTTTTGCGATGTTGCTTTCACCAGGGTTTGAACCCAGGTGCTGCGGAGTGAAAGCGTGCACTGCTTACCACTACGCCACAGCGGCCGAAATTTCTTTTAGCACCGTTTATCTTTGTAAATATGTGCATATATATTTAATTATTTACTTACGAAAAAGGCGCCAAAATTGATAACATGAATATTAGAGTGGTTAAAATTTTTTTTTGTGATAAAAAAGAAACGTGTTTTTTTTATTTTGAAAAAAAAAA